TGGATAATCAGAAAGAGGTCTCGCAGAGTTTAGAATGAAAGGGAAATTTTGTGAATTTTATCTGAAGATTTATACACCCCTCCCTCCTACATCAACATGCTTTAAAAACACCGAGTTTGACATTTTGAAATGAAAGTCAAAGACAAAGAAATAACTGTTTCAGAGCCTTACAACAAACAGCGACTCAACAAGAAGCGAACCCTCCGGCAGATGGTGCAGAGGCCCGCGCTCCGTCAGAGGTGATGGGGAGCGGACATGGCCATCCACTGGTACCGACAGGTACCGACACAGCCTGCCAGACGAACAGCTTACGTGCTTGGGGAAAAAGAATTCTAAAAGGGAACTATGAAAAAAAAAATGAAAAAAAAAAAAACAACAAAAGGGAACTACATAAGAAATCTGGGTTGGAGTCTTCAAGTCTCCGTCCTGCAGTAAACACCTTTTCTACTCTGAAGATCCATAACACACCGCCCAACTGGACCAGCATTCCTGAACCAAACAAATGTAATACGAGCAGGCTGTAAAGTCTTAACACATCTGCCAAGTTGTAAAAGGCCAAGGGGGTAGGGATAAAAATTACAGAACACGACAGGCAGGTTTCAGTTTAAACTCATGATCAACAGCCCAAAAGCAAAGTAGCAATTTTGAGGCATTTTCCTGCAAGAAGGTTCTCGTGTGATGGCTCCCCGACCCCCCAGCGCCCCCAGCCCCTCTGCGTGCCTGACGGCCGAGCCTCCACAGCACTGGGGGGAGAGAAGAGAGCGTTCACCTCCTGTGCCTCCTACCACCTGCCATCTCGTCCCTTCCCGCAGGGCTCCAGATCCCACTCGCTCAACTGTCCCCTCGTTGCTACTAAGCCTGTTCAAAGGGCTGTCTGTCTGATCGGACAAAGGAAGCAGCATACCACAGAGCCTTCGGTCGGCGTGGGAGAGAGAGCTGGGGGCAATGGGCGGCATGGGAAGAAAAGCCACTCATGAGAGAAACCCCTGTGGGGGAGGAAGGGCAGGGACGGGGGAGGGAGATGGTCTGGCCTTGACCTGACACCTTTCCGCACTGTTCAATTTCCTAACCGTGAACCCTTATTTAAAACAACTAATGTGACCGAAAAGAAAAGAAAAGCCCTCCTCAATGCACATTGCTACTACATTTCACAGAGGAGGTTTTGGAGGGAATTAACTGGGCTGTGTTTTACCTTCTTCCTCGTCCTTTTTTAATTTAAGATAGGAAGTATTTCAAATATTCAAGTAAAGAAACGAATGGACAGCAATGAGCCTATGCCCGGACTGAATAGATAACATACTGTCCCAACCACTCCTAACCCACGTTAATTTGGTGTCCGCCCCACCAATGAGGCTGCTGACACAGCTCTCGCTTAAATCCAGTGGGCGCGCTTTTAGGCTCTCGTTTCACTTACTTCAAACCCGTCTGTTTCTCCGCACCCCATTCATTTAACACACCATTTCCTCCCATTTTCTATGGCCTGCCTCTGATCTGCTCTTCCTACTTTGAAAAATGGCAAAAGCAAACCAGTAGAGGTCATGCTCAAGTTTAACCAATCCGCTCACCAGGAACCCGACCGGCCTGGCCTCCGCCCTGTCCTGCCCGCACTCACCGCTCTCGAGCCGGACCAGCACCGTTCAGCCGCACAGCCCGCCTCGGTGCTGCCCAGAAATCACCGTCCCCCACTCCTCGTCTGCCTACTTCCTACCCATCCTTTACAGGGCAACTCACCTGTTATGTTACTTAGAAAAGAGTGTGCACTTTCTCATCACAATCTTTACTTTTCCACTGGAGGACCTATCACGATTTAAGTTATTTTCTTTGTGTGACTGTTCACTTGCTGTCCCATCCACCTGGCTGGGAGCCACACGAGGCTGGGGCATCTACCTGGCCTGCTGCCGATGCCCTAGAACTCAGCCTGCACAAAACGAGTCTGCTGTGTATTTGAAAAGCAGGGATGGTCTAATACCCACGGTCCTTTATTTTTACTGGTTATGTCTCCTACCTGGTACCAGGATTTTAAAAGGAGTAAGGTATTTTGTAAAAGGGTGTTTTACTGCTTAATAAAAAAGGAGCTGAACCAACTGTTTTTAGAAATCAAAACACAGCTACCCAGGAACTTTGAATAGGATCAACCACCAACCAAAACACTGCAACACCAAACAATAAATCATGATTTCTTCACAGAGCAAACTATTAACTGACAAATGCCTATTCGTATGTAAAATTTATTTAGTTCCCTCACACTTCCTTCCACTGAGGGACTGCAGTGTGTACACATCCACCCACCAAGCAGAAACGGGACATTCAGGATTGCCTGAAAAGATCAGGAATTCTAGCTGCTGGAACATACCCAGAAAGGTGGGGGTTGTAGGCACTGCTAAGGTGAACAACTCATTTTAATGACTAGTCTTAGTTGGGACCAGAACTTGAGGCGGCCGTCTATACACCCAACCGTGTACAATGTATCAGAGGCGTATAGCTCCTTCCTTTGCACTTTGTCCCTCACCTGTAACCTGTCCTATGTCCCCACCTCTCTTCTCCGGTTTTCTCTGGTAGCCCATGTAATTATATTTTAGTATTTATATTACATTTGCTGAATTGAGGATCTTCCTCCTGAACCGCCAAAACCTCCTTTGCCCAATCACCTAAATGCTCTTTTCAACCAGTGGGTCGAGAGTAAAAGCACGCAGAAGAGCTAGAAGGCAGCTTATGGCCACAGAAGTCTTCTGTCCTGGCCCCACAGGGAGCTTTGCGATGACTCACAGTCTCAGTTACACCACCTGTTACCTTGATGGTCAAGCAAAGACCCCCTGTATGTTACTGGTTTTCCAAACACTATTTCAAATTCTTAACATGCTGCTTCCAACTTTATCTGTTTATAAAAATTTGTGAGTGCTTTTGAGCGTCTGAAAGAAACCTTTTATACTGATTGATAGTGCCTGGGTCTCTGAAAATTATAAAAATCTGGGCATTCCAGGATAGTGATCATCAATGATAATAACAGAAGAGTAAAACAACAACAACAACACTCCCTGAGAGCCAGGGAAATCAGTTCAGATACCAGGAGACACTAGGAGACCCCTGCCTGCCCTTGTGTGGTGGGAGCAGGGCCTGTAGAGAATGCGGAGCCGTGCAGCCCTCCCCTGCTCCATCCACAGCACAGCATCGTATCTGCTTGGTATCGAGCATCTGTGCAGGATTTTGTCTAGGAAATAAAGGCAGTCTCTAAGAAAAGGAAAAGAAAAAAGCTTCCATCTTTACTTAGTACAACTGAGGGGTTGAGAGCATGTCTAAAGCCAGATCATTCTGCTTCCCGCACTTCTTTGACAACAGAGCACGGTAACAGTCAGCAATACTAAAGACAGATATCTAAAGGTGTGTAAAAGATTATTTATAAAACAAAGGACCAAGGATAAGAAAGCAAAGAAAGGTTGAGACGGAGCTGACCACAATTAGGACCGTAACAAAATCACGCTCCGCCTCATCCGAGCTCTGCTCTCCGAGCACGATGGAATAATGAGAAGCTCACAAGGCCGAGGGACCTCTTCGTCCCCTCTGTGTGCTCTGCTGGAAGGAAAGTGAAGGGCACGAGCTTTGCTTACCCTGTTCCAGGCATGCTTTCCACCTGGTTGAGACTGGATTCAATAACAGAAGTCAAAGCATCAAATTCTTCAATGTGCAGGGTCTTACACATGCTCCAGATCTTCTTAAGAGCGACTAAGGCATACAGTCGGATACTGAAGTTGTGACTGAAGCACCACTGCAGCACGATAATAAGGGCTTGCTTCAGAATTGGTTTCTGGAAAGAAAGGGGGAAAATTCTTCACATGTACACGTGGAACGTTCCACCCCTGGTTGTGTGATCACCAAGTGGACAGAAGGTAAAAATGCTGCGCAGTCCAGCTCTCACTGGTTCTGCGGGGGCAGGATTCCTCCTTCCTTCTCAGACACATTAGCTGCGCTGGCATTAGCAATTTTCTCAAGGAAGAAAGATGCTCCCAGCTCTTTTGTTTCCATTTACGAGGCGGCCGCAGTCCATGTCCCCCACACCGCAGCGCCCGGGCTAGCGTGGACGGAGCGCCTTCACGCTAGCCGCCATGCACCCACAATGTGCTAACAGCAGCCCCCTGGGCTGGAAACGTCAGAAAGGTTCTCTAAACCCCCCTCTGCTGCACTTCCAAGTGCTTCTAAAGCCAGGGACCTCCTATGGTGCTGTTTTCCTCCCTGTCTTTGTGAACAACAGTTTCCCTCATGATGCTCTTGGACCCGCAGAGTGCTGAGGGGGTGGCAGGAAAATTAAAAAGTGGGGAGAAAAATAATAAACGTTTAAACTTCCCTGAAGTCTTTTCCTGTGAATTCAGACTGTTCCATCTTCACAGCCTGATTTCAGGCAGCGACAGTCCCTGACTTCCCAAACCACGGAGTTCCACAGACCACAAAAGGCAAAGGAAGTGACCCAGATTAATGCGGAAACTAGATGGACAGAAACTTTTAATAGAATATCAGGAGCTACCTCGATGCTCGTACCAAATGGCTCATCTGTAAATGTTCGCGGGGCTGCACCTAGCTGAGTCCTATGGTTTCTACTAAGAACAACCATGCTCATGAAAGACTTTACCAACTCACTGCATGGTTAACAGCGCATTTCAATCTCCCAAAGCTTCTTTGAGAAGGACAAAATACAGATATATATGATCCTCTTTATTCCAGTGCTTTGTTCAAAATACGGTCAACATTTATCAAAGGTCGCTGTACTGTCAGCATCACAAGGACACCAGGGGGAGGATACGTGAATATATACACACATAACTGTAATATACATCTGACCATCCCCGCATGAGGAGCAACTTCAACAAACACCTTCGGCTTGGGTCATGAACCCAGAGTCCTGGGATCGAGTCCCACATCGGGCTCCCGGCTCAGCGGGGAGCCTGCTTCTCCCTCTGACCCTCTCCCCTCTCATGCTGTTTCTCTCGCTCTCTTTCTCTCTCTCTCAAATAAATAAATAAAAATCTTAAAAAAAAAAAAAAAAAAGTTGAAACCAAGACAGGTTATCCAGGCCATCTGAAACACCATGAGAAGAGAATTTAAAAATTAAAAAACAGGGGGTAAAGGGAATGTTAATTATTAATTACTATTTTATAGCCCTTTACAATGTTAAGAGGCACACACGTGAGAGTACCTAAACATAAACACTACCTACAGGGTTAGTTACGGACCACAAGTGCCGTGTATGTTGTTTATAATACGCGCAGCTTCATAAGTGGGTTTTACTGTCCACGAGCTACGGGTCAGAGGACCGATGTGAAAATGAGGCAAACCAGACAGTGTCAGTAAAGGGATGGCTGTCCCAAACATGACATGTCTAAAACCGAACTGATTTCTCCCACAACCCACGGTGGGGTGGGGATGGGGGTCGTCCCATTCCCGACCCTCCTCCTACACTTATTCCATGCCAGTCACCGACTTCCAGGCAGGATGAGACCACTCACCTGCTATCCCTTAGCCTCAAAAGTCCCCTGGACCCGCGTGTGGCTCGCTCACTCACTACTTTCAGGTACGTGTTCAGGATCACCTCCTTGGGAAGGTTTCCTCTGAACCCACCTCCTGAAATAGCCGTCCTGCCCCAGATACCCCATCCCTACCCCTTGTTCTGAATTTTCTTCAAACCCTGTATCACCACCTGGGATGCGTGGGTGGCTCAGTTGGTTAAGCGACTGCCTTCGGCTCAGGTCATGGTCCCGGGGTCCTGGGATCGAGTCCTGCATCAGGCTCCCTGCTCAGCGGGAAGCCTGCTTCTCCCTCTGCCACTCCCCCTGCTTGTGCTCTCTAATAAATAAAGTCTTAAAAACCTGTACCACCACCTGACAGTATAACGTCTATTTATCACCTCTCCCTGCACCAGAATGACAGTGGAGACAGTTTTGTTCACTGCAGAATTCCTAGGACTGGGAACAAGCCACCAGGACACATGAAAGGCACAGGACAAATACTGCAGGGAGGAGGAGGGATGACTGCTCAAAGCACCCCTCCAACGGGGCCTGTGGCCAGTTACCTACGCTACACCCCCATCCCCGAGATCAGAGTCTTCTCCCCAAGGAACAGGCGCTTCCTCTCCTCTGAGCGGCTCACACTGCTCTCTCCGCCCTTCTAAACCTTTGCACGGGGGCTTTGGAGCCCTCCTCCCAGGATGGTCTCCAACCCCTCACTAACCTTTCTCTCCCAACCCTCCTAAGTCACAAGAGGGTCTGCGCCCATGCCAAGCCTCAGCGTGACATCCGGGTCATCGCTTCCCGGCCATCAGAGACACAGCCATGGGGAACAGGTTTGCCAGAGTCCACCCCTTGTCACAGACAACTATTCTTCTTTCTAAAACCTTAAAAGCAGCTATTCCAACTTTTTTTTTTTTAAGTTATTTATTTGTTTTAAAGAGAAGTGGGGAGGGGCAGAGAAAGAGAATCTCAAGCAGCCTCCCCGCTGGGCATGGAGCCTGACACAGGGCTTGATCTCACAACCCTGCGATTGTGACCTGAGCCAAAATCAAGAGTCGAACGCTCAAACGACTGAGTCACCCAGGCACCCCCAGGTATTCCAACTTCTGACCCCCAAGCCCCTAGCCTCAGTCCATCTCCTACCCCACCCGTTTCCCTCCTGTCCTCCTCATGGAGCTCGTCCCAGTCACGCTCCTTGCTGCTGGATACTGTGGAGAAAGCCCCTGCCTTTCCTGACCTTTGCAGGCACCGCGCCATCTTGGTCTTTCTCTCCTTGAAAACAGTTCTTCCTATGACCTTTAGGACACCCTATTCTTAAGGCTGCCCGCCTCGCTCTCCCACATTCCTTCTCAGTCTCCTCTCCTGTCCCTTAAATGCCGGCGCTGCTCTGGGCTCTGTCCCCGGCTTCCCTGTTTTGTCAGGCGGCACACGGCCCCTGCGCTCGCTCCCACGGCTTCAGTCCAGCCAGGGCTCCCAAGCTTGCGAGCCACAGCACAGCTACGTTGCTTCTCTCAACTGAGATGTTGCTCGCACGCAGCTGCAGGAAATCACACAGAGGTCCCCTGTGCCCGGCGTGCTTTGTCCGGCGTCCCCTCCTACTAATGTTCGGCAGATCACGGCACAGCATCTCAACTGGGACACGGTCACTGACACAATCCACTGATGCAATCTGGGTTTCCCCAGTGCTCCCTGTTCTCAGTTGTGCATGGGGTGCATTTGCTTGCAGGTCGAGACCATTCTGTCACACGTGTGGGTTCACAGAGCCAGCATCACTGTCAGGAAACTGAACAGTTCCAACGCCCAAGGATGCCCCCTGCTCTCCTTTTATAACCACCCCCCTCCTTCTCACACTCCTCTCCCCACAGCCGCTCTGTATACAACTGGCAGTGTTGTGAAAAGTATGTGAACCTTAACCTGTTAGAGGTTAGCTGTGGACACGGAACCTGGTGGCTAGCTCGACAGAAACGGATCTTTATCGCAGAATCACTGGAAGCACTGAAGACATGGGCTCTCGGCTCGCAGCTGAGCAACCAGGAGCTACGCTGCGGAGCCAGGCGACCACCGCTCTCCTCCCCGACCGGGAAGCCGCGGCGACTCGCACAAGCAGAGCCACAAAAGCTGTGCTCACCGAGCCAGGACCCTAGCCCCCAGCTGACACCATCCCAGGGGAAACAAAGGCCCCCACGACTCAGCTTCTCAGCAGAGGCCCACTTCTGCTTCCAAATCCTGTGCAAGTGCGGACGACCTGAACCCCTGGCTACACGATGTTTTCAAAATAGAGGTTTTTGTGTCCCGGGCTCAGCAGAAAGGTGTGCCGAACCCTGAATCTTCAGCAGGGGCACCAGAGCACCCCGGTTCATCTGCAGCCCCTCCACGCCCCCCCAGCTACACTGACGGTGATCCTGCACCCCTGCCCCTTGAGGTATCGGGAGTCGTAGTCCCTAAACCGATGACCACGTCCAAGTCGTATTTCCTAGTTGGACCTCTTCCTGAGCCCCAGAGCCCTACATGCACCTGCTGCCTCCCATGCCCCTGGGGCTCCCCACGGGTGACAAACCCACAATTCCATCCACTCATCACCATCCCCTCGGTCTGTTCTTCGCGCTGCTTTCCCGCTCCGGTGAAAGGCGCCACCGACCGTGGCGGCCCAGGTCACTTCCCTGCTTCCCGCCTTCTCGCCACCAAAGCCATCCACCGAGCCCTGGCGTTCCTTGCTAGCACATACCTGTCTCATCCATCCATCCGTCACCTCCACGCCATGTCCCAGCACAGCTCGTGAGACAGCATGAAGATCACTACAGTTGCTTCCCAGCGGTTTCCAGATTCGTCCCCATGACTAAACCAATCCTACACACCACACTCAAAACACGCAAGTCTGATCACGTCACCCTCCTGCTTAAAATTCAGCAGCATCTCCCCAACGCCCACTGCATAAAGTCTAAACTCCTCACACACAGAGCATTTATGGTATGTCCATACCATGGTGGAGCTACTTGTCCAAGTTCACACACCAAGGAGGAGGTAGTGCTAAGATGTGATGCCAGGTCTCCTTGACTCACATACTGTGCTAATAACCTCCTTGACCTGCTTTACAAAGGCCTTTCTGTGCTGGGCCCTGCCCGCTCTGCAGCCTCCCACCAGAGTCTCCAGCGTCTTCCCGACCTTGACCATGCCCCGCTTCCTTGCACTAGCCCACTCCCCTGCCCTGTCCCGCAGGTCTCTGTGTTGAACCCGAAGTCCTCCCTGGGGGCCGAGATTCGGAGGTCTCGCGGGTGCCCCCACAGCCTTCTGCACTTCCCCCACCACGCGCTCCCAGAGCTGTGTCTTGCTTCCCTATCTCCACGGTCCAGGGCAGTGCTCTGTTACAGGAAGCACTAAGACCGATCCTGAATGAATGAAACAGAAGCCTTGATCCCCAAATCTGACAGGCACAAGGACGGACTAAGGACAATTCTGAGAGGCGAGAACATAACTTCTGTGTTGTTTAATCCTTACAAAGATACCGTGAGGTAGGTAGTACTACGTCCAGTTTACATCAAAGGAAAACCAGAGGAATCAAGTCCAAACACCTAGCTTCCCCTTCAAATTTCTCGCCGCTCTCCTATAACCTTAATCCTCATTCCATGCTTTACTTGGACTTCCTTAGTCTTTACTAATGTCCTTGTCCTGTTCCTAATCCATCCAGGACACCTGACCTCTAGTTCTCGTGTCCCCTTACTCTCCTCTTGGATTTGCTTGTTTTTGATGACCTTGTCAGTTTTGAGGAGCAGTGGTCAGGTTGGCTGGGATACGGGTGATGTTCTTCTCATGCCTAGACTGGGGTTATGGTGTTGGGGAGGGAGACCACAGAGGCCATATGCGTCATATCCTACCAAGGGCACGGACTATGGTACAAATTACCGCTGTCACGGGAGTTCCCTTCCATACTCTGCTCTGTGGAAGGACATCGCTAGGGCAGCCCACACTGGGCTGGGTGGTTATGCACCCACCCTCCTTGAGGCCAGAGTGACCACATAAATTATTTGGAATTCTGCACAGGTTTGTTGTCTTTCCTATTTGTTTATTCAATCATTCACTTTTATCAGTAGAAACTTGCGAATATTTATTTTATTGGGTTGTAATCCAGTGTTACTGTATTGTGTTGCTTGTTTCAGCTTTCGCCACTAGGAGGTCTCTCGGCCCCTGTGCCTCTCTGCAGATCCGCCCCACGTCCCCGTGCCCCCGCTGGGGCACTTCTTTTCTATTTACCTTGTGTATTTTCTGCCCCAGTTCTAGAATCAGCTGTTTCTCCAAGAAGCCTTGGTTCCTTTTATGAGAGAATGGTATTAGAAACCAAGATACGGGATACAATCCTTTTATGAATCCTATACTCAGATACGCTGGTACTGCCTGTGATCATTTGCCTTGGCCAGGACTGAGATACACACCGTTCGGGACTGAACGCCAGTAATACCATCTCGTATTTGCTGATGAGGTTTGGACACACTGAACAAGCTGACAGGACAATACACAACCATGAGCACACTAAGGGGGTGTTTTTCCCCTCTGCTTTCGATCTCCATAGAACATTTAGCATTCTGCCCTCTGTCCTGTTTGGTGGTAGTTTTGAATCTTCTCTGACTACTTAGCACAGACCCGTACAAGTGCAAATATTTCCATACTTTGAGGAAAATGGAAAGTCTTGAGTGACTGTTTCCAAGAAGTCTTTATAAACAAAAACATATTTGTTAGGTAACAACAGACTTTGCCACAGACACTGTGAAGGACGTGGACATAGACTAACAAAGCATACTAGTCTGGTCTTTCCTTAGATAGCTCCATATAGATTTCTTATTTTTCCAGAAGATACTGAAATTGAGATTATTCTATTCCACTAATCAGCATTCCTTCTCTGGATGCTTTGAAAATAAATAAATCTAAAATATGTAATATACAGTGAGTATAAACAGGGCTGAATGGGAAAATAACCTGTTATTGGGGCGCCAGGGTGGCTCAGTCATTTAAGCGTCCGACTCTTGATTTCAGCTCAGGTCATGATCTCAGGGTCATGGGATTAGCCCCACGTCAGGCTCCGTGCGGAGTGTGGAGCCTGCTTGGGATTCTTTCTCTCCCTCTCCCTCTCATGAATGAATGAATGAATCAATCAATCCATCAATCAATCAATCAATCAATAAATAAATTATAACCCGTTATTTATTCCAGATTTAGTAGAAGCATCTTCTAAGATGAATTAATTTTCAGAACTTGTCTGGACGGTTCTCGCGTTATTTCAGCCACCCTGACAGAAGACAGTTCCTTACCTACCTTGCCTCTCTCAGTAGATGGCAAGCAAATCTCTTTCCTGAACATATTTAAGATAGGAAGGTAACATGTGATGTTACCTGATGATACAGCTTGCCTGATTTCAGCAGAGGCTGTGAACCCAAGTTTTAAGGGAACCGTAACTCACACACTGCCATCTGGCTGACAGACACTGTAAGACACCTGTGATTTCAAGATCTCAGGATTGTAGGAGTGAAATTGTGGTGGGGGGAAAAAGATCTCGGTCTTAGAATTCATGAAATGGGTTAACAACTAAATTTGATTCTTACCACTGTTTAAAGACAAGAACACTTGGAGAAATTCTAGGAAACCTCTTCTCCCGTGTTTTTCTTTTACTTTCAACACCAAAACAACACTTCTTATTCCATATATTCAGGTCTCTCCCAGAGTTCACAGCTCAGTGCACTCTTCCCTGTAGATTCAGTAATGAAGAATCTTGCTCTACATCTCACTGGCAGGACTGCCTGAATTCTTAACCGCTTTGCCAAAGTGATTAACCAGAATTAGCTACGATCTCTACTTGTCTGTGGGGTAAACCACTAGGGAGACTGCTCGAAGCCTGAGAAAGAGAGAAGAACTCACACTCCAAACGGTGACCCACAGCACATCAACCTTCAATTACCCAAGAGCTTTTAATACTTGGACCGTAAGCATCTTTGCATGAGCACCTGTTCAATAACTACGTCAGTCAATGAACAGTTAAATGCAATAAAGGAAGTCTTACTTAAATCATCTTATTACCTGTATAAAGTTAAGAATCTATCGCTAGAAATTGCCCATCAGTCTGTCTACAGATTTAGGATGTGCTCAGGCATGCATGCCTCGGTGTGCATGTGTGTAAGTGCGTTAACACCTGCCTGTGGATTTGTGGCTAAGTACGTGTGCACAGTAGGTGAGTAGTGGGAGGGAAGACGAGAAGTGGCAAAAACCACAAGAAATATTCTACATTTAAAAAAAATTAGTACAAATATATACAATTCTATTTTGTAGGTTTAAACTCTTCTTACCATTTAAACTCACCTTTTCTGGAATATTTTGAGTGATGATGTCCAAATGTGACAAAACGGATAAAAATGTACAAATGCTTGTCTTAAAGTTTTCTTCACCCTGAAAAAAAATCAGATAAATCAAACAGTCACTCAAGGCTTAATGTGATGCCGTGGGGCCCAGGACGGCGACCGTATGTGAGGCGGGATGTGACGCAGCCCAGGCCCGGACGGGGATCCAGGATGGAAGACACAGGAGGGAAGTAACTTCCGGTAGCCAAACACCAACACAACACTCAGCAGGCACCACAAGGTAGGAACTGACTTAACTGTGGAGTAAGTGGTACAGCCAAGGGTGTGCTCACCTCAGAAGAGGTGCAGGCGGCCCAGGGGAGCAGGAAGGAAAGAGAACAGTCGAAAAGTGAGTAAGATGAACAAAATCAGAGGTGACAAGAAGGCGGCGGCAGCGAGGCAGGAGTTGGGGGGCGGGGGGGACGGCAGAGACAGGCTCCAAAGTTAGACGGGAACTTGCAGACGACTTTAGAGCCAAGGATGAAAAGCTATGTAAGTGTTCAACTGGGATTCAGAAACCTTCCCAATTATAGGGATTTGGAAGAACACATCATTCTAGTGATAATAAACTGATGGACCCCGGATAGACTGGAAAGGAAGGAGACTACAGACACTATCGTCCAGAAACTGCTCCAAAGGCAGATTAGATGATTTATTCAGCTACTGAATGTCTTCTACATGCCGGGTACTGTGCCAGAAGTCAGGGAAAACAAAATTAGATAAGGTTCCTGCCTTCAAGGAGCTTAGTCTAGTGGGTTGGAAGGACAAAATCGCAGAATAAATTAAAATTCCAATTATAACAAGCACTATTTACATGCTATAAAAACCTCTAGTAAGGGGATCCAAACCATTCTTCCTTTAAGAAATGACACAAAGGACGTGTGGACTGAGATCTAAAGGAAGAGAGACAGTTCTGTCGATGAAAAGGAAAAAGGCCAGTGCAGGGAGAGGGCACAGCATGTGCAAATGGCCTGAGAGCCAGAGGACATGTGAGGAGTGTGAAGGCTCAGAAAAGGTCAGAGTACCCCCAGGAACCCCGGCCTCCCTGTGCCAATGCCCTAACGCAGGCCCCTCCCACCTTGTGAGGCTGGGTCTTGCCATCTGCTTTGGCCCGTGAGACATGAACAAGCAGGATGCAACCAGAGGCTGGGGAAGCACATGCACACCATGACATGTTGTCCTGAGATGCTCATTCCGGTGATCCTGAGCCACCACAGAGAGAGGTCCCGCCACCCTGCCAGTCCCATGCAGAGAGAGCCAGGCCCGGCCACCACAGCTCCTCCCCCTACTGCAACTGAGGTGACCAACATGGAAACCGTAGCCCCAGCAGGCACCACATGGAGCAGAACCGCCCAGCCAGGCCCACGCAACCCAGAATGGTGAAAAACATTACAACACCATTTTCTACACTCACAGGTTCTGGAGTGTTCTAGCAACAGAAAGCGGAGCCCGTCATAGGACGAACATGCAGAAGGGGAATGCGGCGCACAGAGGGGCTGGAGGGGGAGGGCAGCATACCATCACCTACGACCTGCAGGCCTTTCTGAAGAGCCTTGGTCTTTATTCTGAGAGCAATGTTTGAAGCATGTGGACAACCTGACCAAATGTTCATTTTGAAAACCGTGCTCTGGCTTCCGCGTGGAGAATGGACTGAGATGGAAGCAAGAGTGGATGCAGGTGGCCCGAGAGAGAAGCCCTCCCTGCAGTGTGAGGCAGAGGCTCAGACCAAGACAGATGGCAGAGGCAGGAGACAGCAGGTGAGGAAGTGAGAAAGGGTCCGCAGGGGCCGGTCACGCGTCACATGAGGCACGAAAAGCATCAAGGTGTCTGGTTGGTGCGACTGTGTGGAAGATGGTGCTGTTCACCGTGGGCAGAAGACCACGGCTGGGGCAACACGAAGCACTTGGTGTTAGACGTCCAAGTTCTGGAGGGTCTACAAACATCCAAGGAGAAGGTCTGGAGCAGGCTCAGCCAGCTTCTTCCGGCAAGGACCAAACAGTAACTACAAGCGCCGCTCTGCAGGCTGTACAGGGTCCGTTGCCACCACCGAGCTCAGTCACTCGGCACAAACAGGGCCACAGACAACACGTAAGCGAACAGGCAAGGCTCTGCTGCACCGAAACCAGAGGCCCGACTTCACTGTAGTTGGCCAGCTCCTGATTTAGCACGTAAGGGAAGAGGTCTGGAACAGAGAGATCAGTGAGCCACTGCATCAGAGAAGTGAATCCTGCTGATACAACAGGGAGAAATGAAGGGGGCACGAGGCTTCGCCTTGAGCAGCACTGACATTTGCTAGCTGCTCGGGCAGGAAAAGGCTGGAAAGGACACAGAAAAGAGGGGACAGAGAGACAAGAGGAACCCGGAGAGCGTGTCGCTGAACCAAGACCAAGAAGATCATCGAGAGTGTGGACCGGGCCGAGAGAAGAGAGAGCAGGCTGACAACAAACTCCAGAGCGTGTCTTCTGCAAAGTGACAGCACTGGACCGCAGGGTGGGTGGGAAGACGTGGGAAACCTGCAGCAGGAGGCCTGACTGCCACACGGGAGTGAGATAGGGTGACCACAGGGGAGGGGTGGGAAGTGCAGGGCAAACATCCATCAACAGCAGAAGAGATGTGAGCACGTGGAAAACAATGGAAGAACACAGGGTAAGGAGATGGGCGGGGTACAACAGACAGACTGAAAGCACAAGGCTCCTAAGGCAGAGGAAGAGGAACCAGGGAACAGGCAGAAGAATGCTCTTCCACAGAAGATCCAAGTCCTTTATGCTACAAGGAGGGAAGAAGTCTCGGACAGATACGGACACAGGCAGAAGCATATGACCGATATGGAGAAGGTAAAGGTGTTCCTATGTGAGAACTTTCGTTTCCTTTAAAAAATAAAAGTTGAGGTCATTTGCTTCCGATAAAGGAAGAAAAGGGTGTAGTGAATGTCTGCCGTTTTTTGGGGTATCTGTCCTGAACCCCCTTCCAAGTTCAGGGAATTCTCCCACCTTAGGTCTGTGGGAAGCTGAAGATGCCAGGTACATTCCTTTTCCCAGACTCTTTGCAGCTAAGAGAAGGCACCTGGCACTTGGATCCAGAGGCATCTACCCTGAATCGCAAACTCTTAACCCAGAGAGGCAAAGCCCCCAGAGGTGTCAGGTGCACCGCGAGCTAAGGTGACGGCTCCACCCCCCCACCAGTGGGGTAAAGCAGCATCTCAACTGGACCAGCTCCACGGCAGGGAGCTGCTGAACCTCCTTTATTCTTATTTTCCAAGCCTGATTCTGCCCTGATTCTGGGCATTCTGCACACCTCCTAATTGCCTGCTCCTGCACTGCTTGTTTTAAGAATCCCTTTCTGATTCAGTCAAAAGTTGTTTTATTTGCTTACAAGGAATACCCCTGACTGGTGTCCACAGATAACATACAAGGTCTGAAAGCTCTTTAGGAAGAGAGAGAGATTGAGCTAAGGAGACAAGCTTCAGAGAAGTGTGGCATTACTGGGGATACGGGAGAGTCAGGATGTCTCAGAAGGACACCAGAGCCAACCTGCTGTCCTGAGACCTTCTGAGGTGGTACCCCCCCGCTGGAGAGCAGACAAAGCAGATGACGTTAAGAAGCAACAGACAGGAGAAGCAATTCAAGGAAAAATGGCAGGAGTATTTTTCTTAATTCCATGGACATGAAGAGGGGAAGGGGGAGCCAGATGAGGAATCCTGGAATAGCAAAAAAGAATGCAGCTTTGGGAATGACACACGTCTGAATTAAAGCTGTGTCATTTCTTACTGGTGTGACGAATCACTTCCTCTCTCTGAACCTCAGTGTCTTCATAAGTAAATTGTAAAAAAACAAAAACAACAGCCCGACCTAGCGTTCAGGATTCCTAGGAGGCTGCCGGTGGCCACTGCTTTACAGGACAGCCAGGTTTCAAGCGAGGAGACTGGGAGCAAGGATAGAAAGGAGACCAGCGTCAGGGAAAGATGCTCTCGTCGGTTCAGCTGCGCGGGGACTGGAAGCAGTCGTGTGAGCAAGCCTGGCGGGTGGCCGGGGGCGCAGGCGGCCGCAGACAGGGGTCCCCGAAGAGAGGGGAGTGCAGAAGGAGAAGCACCGGGGCTAACGGATGATGCTTCTTGTTTTCCTACTGACAGAGATGTTAAGTTTATTACAACATACACAGAGGCATTCTCGTATATCTCTTCTCTTTTCCATCAAAATTTTTCTTACTCGAGTACAGCTGATGCACAGTGCTGCATCAGTTTTAGGGATTATAGTCTGTGCTGCCGCAACAAGTTTATACGTTATGCTTTGCTCACCACAAGCGTAGAATGATTCTTAGGATGTCAGGCAGCGTGAGGGTTGGGAGAAGAGGGAGCACGTGAGAGGCATGGGGAGGGGCCACGAAGTGCAGCGCGGCGTGCGTCACGTCAGCTGTCAGCCTAAAATGTTGGGAAGAGGAACACCAAGGAAAAGGTTGTGCATAGCTGAGATGAAACCCTCACCGTAGCTGACCACAGTGGTTTAAGTAAAACAAGACAGGGAGGCGAAGATCATTCATCTCAAAGTTTAAATCAGGCACACCTCAGAAATACGGTGGGTTTGGTTCTGGACCATCCCAACAGCAAGTATCACAGAGTGAGTCAAACGACTCTTGATTTTCTGATGCATGTAAAAGTGATGTTTATTAGACTACAGGAGACCATTACGTGTGCAATAGCATTATGCCTAAAAACGCAATGTGCTTGCTGTAATTAAAAAATACCGTATTGCTGAAAAATGCTAACCATCATCTGAGCTTTCGACAAATCGTAATCACTGATTACAGATCACCGTAACAAATATAATAATGAAAACATTTGAAATATTGTGAGAACTACCAAAATGTGACACAGAGCCACATACTGAGCAAATGCTGTTGGAAAAATGGCACCAACAGATTTGCCTGATGCAGGGCCGCCCCGAACCTCCCACTGGTCAAGGACGCAGTGTCTACGGAATGCAGTAAGCAAACCACCATCAAATGCTGTGGCCGTAGTAAAGGAAAGACGGCACTAAGACAATGGCTGGACAGAGGAAAAGTCAATAGAAGAGTAAAGAATTGAGAGTAAAAGTCCCCAAAAGAAAATACGAATAAGGACACAGGGACAGATGTGACAAAGACATCAATTTCTTCCCCTGAAACAGGAAGGAAGACATTGAAAAAGATACTTTGAGGAAGGAAGGCATCTCCATTTTCACATCGAGCAGAAGGCAAGGTTATTTATGTGAAGGAAGGGAAGGGTGCATTTGGGAACCAACAGAAAACATTCAAGACAAGTATGCAGAACTCATGTTTAGAAACAGTTCATCATTGTCAGGAAGCTGCAACTGAAACCCTATCACTTACCCGTTCCTTAAAAATGATTTTCAAGATATAAGACACGTCGGGGACAGGGGAATTCGGGGTGCGGATGAGGGTACAATAAAGTAAGAATGGTTCTTAGCTGGTGATCGGGGCTTCCTTCGAGTCTCTCTACTGTGCTTGTTTGAAATTTCCCCACTGAAAACCTCTCTGAAATGTAAAGACTGCATTTAATTCATCATCGTTCTTATTTCTAAAATCAAAGACACCGCTTGGTAAATAAGGATAGAGAAGGCACTCGTTTCTTATTTTATTTTTGAGAGAGAGAGAGTGCCCACGCACAGGGAGGGGCAGAGGGAGAGAGAGAGAATCCCAAGCACACTCCACACTGAGTGCAGAGCCCGATGTGGGGCTTGATCTCACGATCATGACCTGAGCTGAAATCAAGAGTCGGACACTTAACCGACAGCCACCCAGGTACTCCTCTTACTTCTTAATAACATAAGCCTATCCATCTTTACTTTGTTGGAACAGAGATTGATAATGCAAGAGGAGTGCCAGAGATTTCTGTCTTTTAAATTAACTCAGATCTTGCAAAACAGAACTTAGAAAGTCATTACATTGGAAGAGGACAACTGACAGTCAAAAAAGCAGCTATTAAAATGAACCAAATCTCCCAGCACAGCCAAAATTTTAATTCCAAAAATTATGAAAAATCTCTTTTACTTACATAAGAAAAACAATCCCAGAACTTCAGAAGAAATTGAGGAAATTTATGAAGAATCAATATAATAATCCATTCTATAAGATATTTTATGGATGCTTGATTATTGATGAAACCAGCCTGGAAAATCTTGTCAATAATTCTATTCAAGAAATTCTGAGAAAAATAAAGTTCATAAATTAAACTGTTAGGTTAGGGTTATTGTTTTATTTTATTGAGATACAATCGACATATAACACTGCGGAAGTTTAAGGTGTCCATCTGTCCATCTTACATGTTCACATGCACACACCACAGCATCACCTCTAGCACATCACAAAATGATTTCTTTTTTATGGTGGGAACAATGCAGATCTAGTCTTGTAGCAACTCTGAAAATAGTTCATTGTAACTTAAAAAACAGTCACCATTAAAAAGAAACAAATGAAGGGCACATTCTGCATGGAGCACTGGGTGTTATGCACAAACAATGAATCATGGAACACTACATCTAAAACTAATGATGTAATGTATGGTGATGAACAATAAAAAATTAAAAAAAAAGAAAAAGAAACAAATGAAACTTTTGTTTTGTTTTGTTTTTTTTTAAGTAATCTCTATGCCGAACGTGGGGCTTGAACTCACAGCCCTGAGATCAAGTCGCCTGCTCTACTGACGGAGCCAGCCAGGTGCCCCCAAAGAGCTTCAAGTTTTACTGTAAGTAATTATCGGATCTACAACTCTCCAAACAACAACCCTAAAATCTGTTCACTGAAATATAATGATGAGGTACTAAGTACTTTACACTTTACCTGCACATCAATTCTATGAGGAAGGTTATTACTGTGTATTTTTACAGGGAAAAGATTCAGAAAAGTTAAGTGTTTTCCTCAAAACCTAGCAGGTGGCAGAATTCAGATTCAAATAAGCATCTGCCAAAATGTCATGGGCTTAGTAAACTTGGAACAAGAATAACGGATGCCTCTGTCCGCAGGAGGCAAACGAGGCCCAGGGGAAGCGGTGGGGGCCCCTTGCTTCTCTATGTGGACTGCTCATCGCCCACCCATACAGCCTCCGAGACCTTGGAGGTCCCACGTCATCCCCCCCTCACCCCAGGCTTCTCGTCAAAACTGCACTTCCATCTGGATAACTGAACATATCCAAGTAGTGGGTAAAAATACACACATAGATCTACCTATACAGGATACAAAAACATATGTACTATGTACACCGTTCATTTGAAAGAACAATCTATCTTTAAGAAATTTCTAACTGGCAGAGAGGAGTAGAACAGCTCACTTGGAGGCCCCAAGACAGCACTGTGAAGGGCAGCACGGCCTCAGGGAGACCTGGTTTTCGATTCCAGCCCCACTATCCACCAGCTGTGTTATGTTACAGGCAGGCCCCCACCTCCCTGAGCTGTGGTGCCCGCTGGACTAGATGAGAATACTCATGCCTGCCCTGAAAAACGGCGATGAAGGTGAAATGCATCCACCAGATACAACGATCTAAAATTCTCAGCAGCGGCTGCTCCATCACGGACATGCTAGTGCTCGGCTCCCCGACAAGCCTGCCCACTATGACAGGCCCCCTACCCTCCAACACGACCCTCTCCCCGGGGGCCTCTCCATTCCAAGGCAAAACGTGCTCTCAGTAACCTAGCCAAACATCTCTAAAGCACTGCTTTCCAAATGCATTTTAGAGTTTAAGTGTAATATGTACAGTATTTTAAAAATCAAATAACATGAAGAGGTCTATATGAAAATCAGCAGCCCCCACACATCCACTAATATTCCTCCCTAGAAAGAATGCTTTTAGCCATTTCTTCTTACCTTTATCCAAACAACTGATGTGGATATACTTCTATACTTCCAGTTACTGAAATGTTTCTCTCTTACAGATATGAGGCCTCATAAAATTGTATTAAAAAAGTTTGATATGTTTTTAAAATTCTCTGAAACATTTAAAGGAGAATAGGAGGGGAGGACAACAAGAACCTGAAGTCGGAGGGAAACTTTTTGTATTCAAAAATGCTTTTGAAAATTGTGTGAAATATACCACTACTTTCACATAATGAATCTATTTTCTTACCAGGAATATTAAGCAAACATGATCAGTAAAATCAGACAGAGTCCATTCACCTGTTCCTTGCCTCCTCAGGGAAGAAAAAAGGGAACTAGGGGCAAAGACTCTGTTGTAAGAGATTGAGATCTCGGTCTTGGCTTAGCTGGTTTATACGACCACAGTATTCATGAAGTTAAGGGGACAGAATCAGCCATGGGAAATGACAATCTCATCCAAAACAAGAGCACTCCAGAGTAACTCAGCTGTGGAAAATTAGCAGCTCATATATGGGTATTGTCTACTCGAATGGCACACCAGACATTAAACAGTTAAAACGTTACTTACGTTAACAAGAAAAAAATATTAAGTGGTGCGTGTAAACCAGTTTCCAATTTATTTCTACAACATCTAATTGCCTTAGGATTCTTTCGACTAAAAAAAAAAACACTCCTGAATAACTTCAATTTTAAGAGTGAAGGTATAAATTTTAAGCAGATTACTTTCTCAATTTTAAGACAGCACATGCCAGTTTCTACTGGTTTTTTCCGTATGAAAACACGATGCTTCGAGGGACCAGCAGAGTCAGAACCATACCTGATCAAAGCTGGGGAAAAGCACCAGCAGCGTCTGCCATATCCGGTTCTTCAGCCGGTGCTGCTGGGAGTTCACATAGTACCGAGTTCTGGACCTGGACATCAACTCATCCTGGGGCAGGGAGAGAAGCGGCACTGAATTACCTACCGAATCCGTGATCCATGGAAACAAAACCAATGACAACTGTAAATTCAAAAGCTTTAAGCAGAGTCCAGGAGGTTATTACCCTCCCAAAGGCAGAAAGGAGGATAAGAAAGACATGTTCTTGAAAGCATTTAGTTTCCTTTCAAAACAATGAGTTCAGTTGCTTTTGTCTGCTTTTAAAATTAGACTATGAACTATAAAAATGTATTCGGTACAAAAAGGATTTAGAAATGTCCGTCTCTATCTTTGTGGCCACTTCAGGTGGGAGACATGGGGTCACCGGGGTGCAAGGAGGTGAGAAATAGGACACAGTTTGCGATGAACCAATATAGGCCCTCCTCACTCGCTGCCCCCGTGTCCCGTGCACGTTGGCGGTGATGATGTCTGCGGTCGGAGGTGAAGCCCACTAGGGAACCAGTGTGACCAGCACCTTCCCCAGACACCAGACAATGGCAATATGGAGCCCTGTCCACAGCGGAGCTCGCTCTCTCGCCGGCGATGGTCAGTGCGGTCTAAACTCGGCCACCTGCCACGCTGACTTGTGTTCTGTAACTACTAGTGCTTAGCGAAGTTATGACGGCACTAAAGGGTGTACCATATTCAAATGTCCTAATGATGAAAAAGTAGGTCATCCGCCACGTCCAAAACCACTGTCACCTAATGGCCCCTAATGTAGACAGTCCTCATTACTTGGTAAATTCTGTGTTCTTCTGTGATCCCATTCTATGCACTTCACTCTGTGTAAGATTTTATAACAATAGCTAAATTAACGTAGGTTTTAATGACTCCTCCTCACGATTAAAGTCTCACAACCAGGCTCTCTATTATTTGTTTAGGGACATTTTCTTTTGATAGAAGTCTTTCAGCCTCAATGCAGCTAAGAATGGAAGCCTCACTGGGGCAGCTCACACAAGCATGGGGAGCATCTGCACCCCAGGACCCCTGCTCTCGGGGCCTCACTGGAGTCACTGTCCTCACCCCATCTTCAGCTCAAAATCCTCTGTCCCTTTACTTGTTCTACTCAATGTACTCTTTTATTCAGAAAGATCTTTCTTTTCTCTACCAGTCTATCAACCTCTCTAGTTCCATGCACCTCCTGACCCAACCTGAGCCCCAAGAATAATCTCTACGGTATCTTCAAGAGCACATTCCATTCTTTTCACTACAACCTCAAACCCAGTTGCAAATTCCCTTCTTTGGAATCAACCCAGTGGCTTAAAGATTCTGATCCTCCTTTCAAGTTGTCAAGACGGCTGAAGAAAAATCACCTGCCCCCCACTGACTTCATTGAAAGTACGTATTCTCGCTTCAGCTGGGCCCTCCCGCCGCTACACCAGGGGTCTCCAACTCTGTAGTGCTCAGAATCACCCCGAGGGCTCCTTAAAACAGACTGCTGGCCCCACCCCGAGTTTCTGATTCCGGAGAATGGGGAGGGGACCCAGGAATCTGCATTTCCAACACATTCCCTGGTGACGTTGAAGCTTCAGGTCCAGAGAACAAAAGAGTAAGATTCCACTCATCAATGGAATCTAAACAAATGAACGGACAAACAAAGTGGGATGAGAACCATCAATACAGAGGGGAGGGGCAGGAGGATGGGTGACACAGGTGAAGGGGAGGGAGGTGCGGGCCGCCAGCTAGGGAAGGAGCGCGTCACAGGGATAAAAAGCAGAGCGTAAGGAACACAGCCAGTGACGCTGGGACAGTGAGGTACGGGGGCGGTCGGCAGCTGCGCTGTGGTGAGCACAGCGTCACGTGCAGAGCTGTCCGATCACTGTGCTGTACACCTCAGACCGACGGAGTGTGTGTGTCAACTACACTCAGACTGGGAACGAACGAGCTCGGGGCCAGACAGTCATTTGCTCTTCTCGGGTCTCCTCCCATTCCCATTTCCACAAGGAGAATCTGAAATCTTCACTAGTCCCCTCCGGGCTTTAACCCCGTCCAGTCTCTTTCTCTGGCTGCCCCTTCACTCTACTGCCCACCGGCCGGACCCCAGTGTGCTTCTGGAAACTCAGAAATGGCCCCCAGCTTCTGCCCCCGGTGCCCAACCTGCTCTCGGCCACAGCACACAACACCACCAATGGCCACCGAGACACCGCTTGCAGTGGGAAAGAACAGGCCCTGAGGTCAGACTTTATCATCATGGACAAATTCAGAGCGGTTCCTCTGCCAAATTCTGTACAGACAAGATTCTTCAGTGAGCTAAGTTAAGGTCATGAGCAACACCAGACCAACACCACCCAATTCTGGTTCTATCCTCACTTCTCAGACCTCTTTCTCTGGTTCCCTCTCCTACCAATATACTTCAAGTGTTGGTGTTTCCTAAATCCCCATTCCCGGCCTCCCTCTAGAGTCTTGTCCACATTCATCACTGGGCACGGTGGCTTCCATTTCTTTCCTAAATATCATATTCCTAATTGCCCGTTACTGGGCAATTTCACATGGATGCCCAACAGCAACTCAAATGTAGTACATCCAACACCAAGTTATGTTCTCAGATCTTCTCTTTCACCTGACCAAAACTGGGGTAATTCAAACACTAATAATTATTACAATGGATGGAAACACATCAATATGTTTAAGCTAAAAGCAAAAAAACTCACTGATCACCTTCAGAAGAAACTAGAAGACACTAGGAAGCCAATTCATTATTTTGAAAACTGATAAATAACAGGAAAAAATCTAGCACTGATCCTGCCTTTCCTACAGGAAACATACCTCGGGGTTCTCTAAATACTTCGTATTTGGATACAGATGGACTTCAGCTAATAAATGAAAAAGGAATAAAAGGATTAGAGTATTACCATTCTGCTGCTCTTAAAAGAATTAACAGAACGAGGCAATTCATCAGTGACTAACACCCCAAAAGGAGAGCTAGTCAAATATTCTACACTTCTTGAAAGATGGACACTCTTGCCCCACCTCCACCCCCAAAAAGGACAATCAAGCCTACATCTGATCCAGTTCTAGATCTCAACACCGTCTTGTATAAAGTCAGGGATCAGAGAAACATCTTAAAAGGCACCACGGAAACTCAAACAGCAAAATCCAGACTGTGGAAGTCCCTAAGATGAAAACAATCTGCTTTCTCCAAAAAATACATTTCAAGTTTGAAACAAATGAGGGGAGTCTGTAGATTAAGAGACACCTCAACCAACCAATGGCAGGGTATGGACCTTATCTGGGTCATTATTTCAAACAAAGAAACTGAGAAAAAAAAAAAATGTAAAACAATCAGGTAAATTTAAACACTGACTGGATATTTGATAATATGAAGGAATTATGAATTCAGGTATGAAAATAGTATTGTAGTTATGGTTAAAAAAATAATTCTTATCTTTTTGAGATACATACTGAAACATTTATAGAAGAAACTGACGTTGGGATTGGCTTCAAAATAATGTGGGCTGGGGTGAATGTCAGAGGTACACCCCTCAAGACTGCCCATCACTGGCTGCTGCTGAGGCCGGGCCAGGAATGGATCCCTTCTAAAGCTACTTTTATAAAATATTTGCAAGTTTCCAGTACAAAGCAAACAAAAAACTACCCGCACGTGCCTCAGTAAAACCTAAAGAAAGGAGAGTGGGGAAGACTGCAAAGGCCAGGAGCTGAGTACTGCTCGCCCGCTGGGTGGCCAGACCGCCATGTGCCTGGAGGTCCTTGAAGATCGCCCCAGCCGGCCACCACCTCCACCTCCTCCTGGTTCACGCTCTCCATCCATGGACTCAAAACTGAACCTTGAAGGTGACACCTCAGGCACACAGGGTCGAAGCAGACACAGCCGTGCGTAATCCCCACACCCTGTGGCTTCTGCACTCCGGTGGGAAAGACTGACTTTAAGTATTACCTTATATTAATTCTAACTGAGATCATTGCTACAACTTCAACCTTCCCCTCGGTTTTCAAGGCCAACCATGTTTCTGTCTCTTCCCTCTAGAAACGACCCTGCTTCCTGGCTCATAACACAAGTGTCCCAGGTGTTCCCTCCCTCACACCGACTCACCGCCACCTGCCCGGCTCTTCTCTCCAGCTCAGAGGAAGAGGTCACTCCTGACTACAGTGAGCCGGCCCACTCTGCTCTGGATGAGATCCTTTTCCACTTTCTCTAGGATTATTCTTTCATTTTTCTTTATTTTCAAATTACCCTTTTATTAGTTGCTCTGCTCAATTTTCTTCATCTTCAAAAAACAACTGCTTGGCCTGAGCCAGTGTCTAATATATAACTTTTCTGTCTTTCCATTTCCTAAATAAAGCCGATCCTTCTATCGGACATTAGAGCCAATCTAGACTGCTCAAATATTTTTAAAAAAATATATAATTCACGTACCATAAAAATCACCATTTTAAAGTGTCCCATTCAGTGGGTTTGGGTATTTTCACAGAGCTGTGCAAGCATCACCACTCTATTCCAGAACATTCTCACACTCTGAGAAGAAATCCTGTGCAATCGCTTCCCGATCTCTCCTCCCCCCGACCCAGCAGCTACTAATCTGTTCTGTCTCTATAGATCTGCCTACCCTGGACACTTCCTGTAAATCACACACTAGGTGGCCCTCTATGAAGGGCTTCTTCTCACTTAGCATAATGACTTCAAGGTCCCCCAACGCTGGTTATTTTCAGTGTGTTTGTTGTTAACAGCCATCCTAGTGGATGTGAAGTGGCTCCTTGAGGATTTCGCCTGTCTGACCATTGCCACGCTCTCCGTAACCAGCATTTCTCCCCTCTATCGGATCGTTTCCTTCAACATACAAACAAGCCCCCTCCAGACCCCATCCCAGCCACTCCTTCTCATCAGAGCAAAGTCAAGAGGGCCTATATTCACAGTCTCTACTGGCTCCCCCACCATATGTCTTTCAGCCATTCCACTGAGGTTCTCATTCTCACCATCCCAGGAGAAGATCTTTGTAGAGGTGACTAACGACAGCCTTCTTGCTAAATCTGATGGCCAGTGGGCAGCCTCATGTCCCTCCACGCCTCCAGTCAGCACCTCCCTCATGACCTGGGGACACCAGCCTTTCCGGGCATCCTCCAACCTTACTCATGGTGCACCCAGAGTTCCGCCCAATGGCACTGGTCAGAGAGGCCCTCCCTGACCCTATTCCTCCTCATCCTGCTTTACTTTGCTTCCACACACTCTTACATTTTGTATCATGCATCAATATTCACTATAATACATCTCTGTGTTCCAGCTGATGGAGCACCTGCTACTCCACTCATCCTTTAGGGAATCAGTAAACACTATTTCCTCTGAGATGTCTTCCCTGACTCCAATGGTGCAAAGGGGGCATTTTTACGTAAAAAAAAACCCTCCCAGATTGTATATAACTGAAGCTGACCTGCTGCCTTCAGAAAATAAATGCATGATGAACACTGTTATTTCAATACGAGTGGCTTAAGTGGGGGCTTCGGTCATCGATTACATCCCGGCACAGCCCACAGGTGACAAAGCAGACCAGGACTCTATCTAGCCCAGCTTGAAATTCAGAAGAGAGCACTGTATTTGACTTTACCCCTTCCTATCTTCTCCCCAGATTTATAAATGATTTTGCATCAAAAAATATCAATTCTTTACATTATGCCACTTCCTAAATCTTTTACCTTTCTATTCCATTTCTTACACAAAATAACGTATGGATATATCACTCTAAACACAACTGCTTTTGACCGGCACCAGGAAATACACCGAGCAAAGTTTAGACAGTACAGGCAAAACACTCTTCTCTAAAACCAAACAAGTTGGACAATCACTAACCAGAAGTTAACTAAAACTAGGGAACATAAACCTCACGTTTCTTCCTGATAAAAAATGTTTAGGGTGCCTGGGCGGCTCAGTCGGTTAAACGTCTGCCTTCGGCTCAGGTCATGATCCCAGGGTCCCAGGATCGAGTCCCTCATCAGGCTCCCTGCTCAGTGGGGAGCCTGCTTCTCCCTCTGTCTCTGCCTCTCCCCCTGCTTGTGCTCTCTCTCTGACAAATAAATAAATCTTAAAAGAAAATATGTTTAGACTACATACTGTGTCAACATATAGAGCAAATGTTGGATTTTGACTTGTTAGTTGCACAGAAACAAAGACAAAGTAAAATAAGGCATATTTACTTTATCTAATAGCTTGATTGCAAGATCTTCCATAAACAACTTATGAGACACATTTGAGCCATGTAATAAACACAGGAATTTGACAGCACAAATTCTCACATAGTGGTCTTCTCTTTTAGTACTAAAAAAATGTAAAATGACAAACTATGTTAATACATTTTCAAAACAGAAAAATACTTCAAGCATTCGTTTCAAAATATCAAAACCTTCTAAGGATTTCTAAACTTAAGCAGCTTCATACTTAATGACAATGCTTTTTCAATTCAGGATAACAGAAGATAACAAATGAGCATCTCAAAAGGAGAACCTGTACAGAGTCTGAGCAAATTCCTCCAGATTTCTGGCAGAACAGTGCACAAACTACCCATGTGTGTGGCCAACAAGCTCTTCTCTGTAGACGAAACAGATCATAGCTCATGAAACAATTCCTTACAGAAGACCATGGACACCTGACACCTGATGTCTTTACTGTGCGCGGGACACAGATGTTCTCCAGGTGCAGGGCAAACTCAGGAGCACCATGGGCTCTGAGTATCCCAGTATGTTCTGTGTCCAAATGTGGGAAGATCAATTCAGTCAACTTGTTAACACGTATTTCCAAAGTTCACGATAGCTGCTAAGATGTGAATAAACGTCTAACAACAAAACATCCGTCTAGTAGAAATCAAAGTATTTTGGAACCAACAACTAAAAAATTTCACTTTTATTGCTAAACTAAACCTGCCAAGAAAACAAAAAATCAATTAAAGCAGTTAATGAAAAATGTATATAGTTAATGAAGAGTGCCAAATGATTTAAAACACAGCGATGACTCTCAGACTAACACTCTGTGATACCTATACACAATTATCATTTGTATATTTTTTTATAAACATCTAAACACAAAAATTTTTTTAAATTATGTGGAAAAATAAAATGAAAAATACCTAGCTGACAAGCTCCAAAAAAATTAAATTTAGAGGTTAGATAAGAACAGTGTTATCCTAGAAATGAAAACTTTAACGTAAGATATTGAAAGAGCCTTTAAAAGCATGTTAGGAGTAATTTTATTTTTGTGTGTGGTATATTGACTTGTTAAATGGTGAACTGTGACTCCCCCACCAAAAAAGAATAACATGTGTGTGCTAAAGATCAGCCTCTACCTAAAAGAAAGAGAGGAATGGGGTTTTATGTTCCCCATAGTCATTTTCTTTTTTTTTTTAAAGATTTTATTTATTTATTTGAGAGAGAAAGCATGAGAGGGGGCAGCAGAGGGAGAGGGAGAAGCAGGCTCTCAGCCGAGCAGGGAGCCCGACCTGGGGTTCGATCTCAAGACCCCGGGATCATGACCTGAGCAGAAGGCAGATGCTTAACTGACAGAGCCACCCAGGCACCCCTGTCATTTTTTTATTTATACTGGACTTGACACCAAAAATTTTTCCCCCAGAAAATCTTCATTTATTCCCATCAAGAATGTAGTAACACTGTAAAAAAACATCTTCCGATGTCATGTTAGACTTTCTTCTTTTTCTTCATCTTTAAAGAATTGTTTAAGGTTATCAAATTTTAGCAAAGAGTTTTAGATCTGAAATATTAGCAAGGGAATAGGATTTCTAACATGCCTTGAAGGCTCTTTCAATATCTTATAGAGATCACTAGTAAACATTTATTAAATTTAACAAATACAGGATGTCTCTCATCTGATGTTAAATTTTGAATATTCCATTTATATCAAGGTGTGGAAAATCCACCATACTTACTTTTCAATAACTGTGTTTGCTGCACAATCATGTCCGAGATTTTCTATGTAGGTCTGCACATCCTGAATAAGTCTTCCCATAAAAAATATTTGGCAAAGAACAGGTTTTAGATGGGAAAAAATTAAAACCCCAAATTTAAAGTTAATTAATGTTTTATATTCTTCTAATTGAAAGCCTTAAAATAAAGACCTAATTCTACACAATTAGGTACTTAATATGAATCATGACAGGTTGAAACAATGGCATCTTTTACCTTTGATCACGCCTAAACACAGTTCCAAATATACAAGCCTCAAGGACAAGTTCGCTATAATTTTTAGCACTTGATAAAGATACTTGGGACACATTTGAAGCAGAAACTATCCAAGATTTGCAGCAATAACTTATGAGTATATTGAAGACTCCAGTTTTTACAGCAGACATTTCAATTATCTTGTACATAATCTGGAATGAAACACAATGGTCTTTTTATTCTTTGGCCTGTTCAGGTAAGGGAAAAAAAAAAAAAAGTGTTGCTGAAAACTTACTTGAATGGCTTCAAATGACAGTTTCGACATAAGCACAGAGTATAAAAAATTAAAAATTCTTTATTGTTAAAATTTTGTGAGATGATCAATAATCACAGAATGCTAATTTTTCATTTCTCAATAATAAAACTAAATAAAATTTTACCGATAGTGATATCGCCCCGGGACTTTCCAAGAGAAACGACTGCCCAAAGTAATAGAAGAAAGGAAGGAAAAACATGTCCCCCCTTGACATTTTCCGTCCTCTCTGCACTTTGCCAGTGCCCCCTTCTGCCCCCGTGTTCTCCAAGGCAGCAAAGACCCTGGTCTCCAAGTGTGTTCTGTGTGCAGGACAGCGGCGTAATAAAAGGACTTTATCTTCCACTCCCCCTTTGGATAACGAGGTATACATGAATTCCTAGGCATGATGGCATCCACCACGTCATGTTCCCTACTATCAGTGGTTGTAAATGCAAATGCCACCAGGAACCAGGAGGACTTTTTGCTAAGGTTATATTCAGAGAAATATTTCTCTGTACAAGAAAAGCAACAGCACAAATGTGGTGACAAATGGCACCTGCCGTCTGCCTTCAGTATCCAGGAGTCAAGGGCTCGCTGTGGAGTGCAGAAGTAGAAGGGGCATGCCCTCTCTGGACGGGCAGCTCCTAGGAACGGCCAGTGTAGCCAGGCCATCCCATTTTCCAACATTCTAAGAGAAGGGGAAATACAGATTTTCTTGCAAATTTCCCAATTCTTAAAGGTTGGCAACTCATTTAAAAATGTTTAAGCATTAGGGCGCCTGGGTGGCTCAGTTGGTTAAGCGACTGCCTTCGGCTCAGGTCATGATCCTGGAGTCCCAGGATCGAGTCCCGCATCGGGCTCTCTGCTTGGCAGGGAGTCTGCTTCTCCCTCTGCCCCTCCCCCCTCTCATGTGCTCTCTCTCATTCTCTCTCTCTGAAATAAATAAATAAAATCTTTAAAAAAAAAAATGTTTAAGCATTATATGCATCAAATAAAGTAAATCTGTGTGGCACGTGTGGCTCACACGCTACTCTTCCATCTCACAGAGCTTGTTCTTACTCATCACACTGAAGAAGGTTCAAAATATTTGTGGACTGAATGAGTGAATACACAACAACAAATCTAGTATGTAATTACAAATACAACTATCTTCTTCCTCGTGTGCTATAGGTCACACAAATTAAAAAGAAAACAAAAAGTGACCTCCTTTGAATCTAAAGTAGTCAAATTCATAGAAATAGAAAGTAGAAAGTGATTACCACGGGCTGGGGAAGGGAGGAGAAGAGAGCTGTTTAAGGGGTACGGAGTTTCAGTTCAAGTTAAGAAAGTTCTGGAGACCTGTTACAACAACGTGAACATACTTTACTGAACTGTACACTTAAAGATGATTAAGATGGCAAATTTACATTTTACCCCATTGTAAAAAAAAAAGTTACCTCTTTTATTTTGAAATATGCCCGGCCCTTGATTTTCGCAGCAATGGTAAGAACTTTGGTATCAAAAACAAACTGAACAAAAGCTTTTAAATTAGACCAGAATATCAGCTGAGTATTGCTTAACGCAGATACAATTTTCCAAGCCATGTCAAAAGACTCTACACAGAGTGATTCAGAGGAGGTCAAAAGCTGGAAGGAGAGAAAAAAGAAAGAAATACCTAAGAATGACTCCATTTCAGAAACTGATCTCTGGTCCCACAGTTATTCTTCAATCCCCGTCTCACTGTATCTTACCTTGGGAACCAGAACTTTCATGCAGTGGAACACAGGCTGAACCTGGTCCGAAGGCAGGACTGTGAGGGCTCCTAGCGCGGACTGCAGAGTCCTCACGGGCATCTGAATAGCAGGCAGGATGGGCTCCAGAACGTCACCCTCCGACGCTGGGATAAGGGTGTGATATTTTCTCAACAAGAAAGAGAGGCAGACCCACTGATCGTGAATATATTGTGCGACTATTTTCCCCCATCCTTGGGAAGCTGATGATTCTTCAAAAAAACTGAAACAAAACATACAGTCACCATCCCTTGCTCCTTCAAGTCTGGCTCAGTTCCTTGTGCATGGAGTAACGATCCTTACAAGAAATCCCCGGCCCACAAAAAGCAAGGAAACCACACGGACCTCAAAGTTCTAACTACTCTGAATGTAGGTACTTTCCTTCCCTGTAAGGGATTCACTGAGAACTACATGCAGTAAAGTCAGTGGCCTTCCAGTAACAGAGATGCTATAGCTTCAAATTCCCATACCCTATAAATACAGCTGGGCAATCACTCATCTCAACAATGAAAACAAAAATGAAATTTTAAACATTAGCAACCAGATGCCTTTCACACATGTGCTGCCCTCCGGGGTGGACACACCTGCTCTGCTCCTCCGTGTGGGGCTTCTGCAGCGTGTGGTTGAGCGGGAGAGAGGAGAGGAACCTTTCCATGGGTCCGGCATCCAGAGAGTCGAGCTGTAGTTCCGGCTTCTGGTCAACAGCCTCACACACCATGGCCAAGGCAGCCATACTAATGACCCTCTGAATCTGCCTGGCAAGTGTCGGCTCCTGAGGGGGAAACGGAACAATCTTTTAGTTCATGAGAGCCAATCTTGACCATCGGGACCTGAGGCCCAGCCGAAGGATGCCTCTCGCCCGCCTTCCCCTCTCCCTGCCTGCTACTGAACATCAGAGGTGACAAAAGGAAACCCAATACTACAAGTCCTTCAGTGTCACCAACCTCTGTGCGATTGGCGGTGACCAAATTTAAAGTGGCAATAAAAACTCAGTTGCTCCGACTAAGACAACAATTTGATCTCTCCGGTTTGGCAGGGGAATTCCCGGACGTGACCCATGACCGAGCAGCCACATATTGAACCTCCAAGTGTATGTGAAGTCCTACTTCTCAGCCTTTTTCCTGCTCATGTACACATTTGGATACACTTCTGTGGATGAGTCTTAACTTCACCTGTTTGGCCGAATTATGTTAAAAACAAAACAAAACAAAACAACGAGGCTCCAGGCATCCATGTAGTAACTCCTTCACCAGCTGTACACTGTTTCCGGAGAGGTGACACAGCCCGCAGCTCAGAGCTCCTCACGAACCTCAGGCACAAGGCTGAACCCCGGCTCTGCACTTACTACAGTTGGGCTGTGGACACACTGCAGCTTAGTTTCCTCACCCGTGAAATGGGGACAGTAAGAGAATCTACTTCAGAGGATTACTGTGAAAATCACACAAATGGGTGATGTCATGGAAAGCACTTGAAACTCTACATGCAGGAACAAAAAGAAAGGAAACCAAGACAGCCTGGCTTCGTACTTGCAGAGAAAATCAACTGTGTCGAGCCAAGAAGCCAGGAGAGCTGGCAGGAGCCCGCACTTTGAACACAGCTGCACGGAGGGACCACGGACAGTGCCGCCACATACAGCAGCCAGACCCATCTCTGCCCGGAATGAACTTCCTACTCCTCACTCCACACCTTTCCTCACCAACTCCCTAAAATAAAGCAAGTACCTCTATTTATAAATTTTACATAGTAACACTGTCAACACAAGAAATAAAATTTAGGGGCGCCTGGGTGGCTCAGTCGTTAAGCGTCTGCCTTCAGCTCAGGTCATGATCCCAGGGTCCTGGGACCGAGCCCCACGTCAGGCTCCCTGCTCAGCGTGGAACCTGCTTCTCCCTCTCCCTTTGCTGCTCCCCCTGCTTGGACTCTCTCTCTAATAAATAAATTAAAAAATCTTTAAAAAAAAGAAAAGAAATAAAATTTACTATTACTTTTAGCCAATATGGTCCCTGTTAAGCTTAACGTAATTCAGTGAATTACTAAAACAAGCAAGCCATCTTTAAGAATTACTGTGGTATGTTTCATGATTTTGGTCTACATTTAAAACTCACAAAGTCCTTTTACAGCACTAACACACTAATACGTACTAGACAGGATGCTGAAGTAGTAAGTAGGCCTCCTTATCATTTTTTGGTCAACAGTTCTTGAAAACTACTTTAAAAATCAGATTACTGGGGCGCCTGGGTTGCTCAGTCGGTTGAGCAGCTGACTCTTGGTTTCGGCTCAGGTCATGATCTCAGGGTCTTGGGGTCAAGCCCCACATGGGGCTCCGTGCTCAGCGTGGAGCCTGCTTAAGATTCTCTCTCCTTCTCCCTCTGCCCCTCCCCCCTCCTAAAAAACTAGATTATTAAAGCAATCAAGTACCTTCTCTGTTTTAATTAGCAGCCTGGACTACTCTATGATTTAGCTCAATTTTATTAAACCCTTATAATGTGTTAAGTGAAAACAGCTAACATTCAGTGAGGACTTTCTATGTGATGGGCACTGTTCTAAAGTTTTAACATGTATGAGCTTGCTTTAATTCCCATTGTCAACTCTATACCCCTCATTTTGCAGGTGTGGTAAATGAGGCACAGGGATGTTAAGTAATTTCCTCAAGGTCACAAAGCTAGCAAGATTAAAGCCAGGATCCACATCTAGGAAGTCTAATTCCAAAGCCTGTGCTCATAACCACTATACCTTTTCATGCCATGTTTAAGAAAAGCTTCCAGGTACTAAAAAGGATCCAGAGGAGAAGACACATACACATAAGTTATTGCAAAAACAAGACAGAGGTAAACACTACAATGGAGGCATAAAGAAAAAAAGATAAACGAAGGAAGCAATGAGACACTGATCCAAGTTGGGCCCTAAAGGATGGACCGGATTTTTGACAAGTGCATCCTGGAGGGGAGGGAGTTGTTGGTGAAAGGACCAGACAGAAGGAAAGCCCAGATGAGGAAGAAGGTGGTATGTGCTTGTGAGCCATGAAGCTCAGTGAGGAGGCCCCTATGCATGACTGCAGCATAATGGCACTGGGGGGCGAGGGGAGGGGGGAGAGAGGAGGCAGCAAAAGACCAGGGTAGACAACAAGGCAGACGGCCAAGGATACAGGCTGCTGGATGTATTAATACACACCACGTGTTATGTATCACATATGTGTTATATGTCACCTATCACATATATGTCACGCACCATATACATACTTAGACATGTTGAAGTGTCTCTTACTGGTACTTGGGCAAAGACTCAGTTCAGTGCAAATCCACTCTCTGTATCTAAACAGCTTTAAGACTGAAGTCACCACACCTTTGTTATATACCTATAGGAGTCCCAATCTTCACCAAGTACTATGAACAAAGGATACTATTTTAAATTTCAGCAGATGCTTTTCATATCAGAATGTTAATAATCAAATCTATATTCTACATATGGTTATTCAACATAACTACACACCTTGAATGAAGGATTACCTGTCCACTGTCGATCTCTTGAAGATGCCGAATGGATGCATTTTTCAGAGGAGAAATAACTCTCCAAATGGGGTTGCCTCTTTTCCACCCAACCTTCAAATGGGTATTTATAAGCTCAGTTAATACCATCAGGTATAAATGGCAACGATCCAGATCCGAAACCTAAAGACAAACAGTAACAATTAACATGCAGGGTCCATGATTTTTACCAAACTATGAGAGTTCAGACAGGAAATAAATGACCTTATTTAAACGTACTAAGACAAGAATTGAGAGAAAAAGTCATTTCCTCCAAGAAGCCCTCCATGATCTCCCCATGCAGAGCTAAGGACTCCCTTCTCTGAGCTTACACAGCAACTCTGCATTCAGTATAACTGCAGCACACGTCATGATTCACTCATCTGGCTCACGAACGTTCTACCAACTCTTGCATCCCAGGGCCAACAGATCATAAATAACAATTAGAGCGGTGACAACTGCCTTTGTTTTAGGCAGGTTATGATCCTCCATTCTTACTAGGAAGGTTACGGTCCCATTTTGCTAACATGATGACTAAGTTCTGGAGAGATCAAACAGTTCGGCCAGCATCTCAGAGCTGGTAAGTGGGAGAGACGGAATTAAACGCAGGTCTTTGCGACATTGAGTTGCAGGGTTCAGTCCAGCACTACCACCCGGCAGCTCTGTGACCCAACCTCTGTTGGCCTCAGATTCCTTATCCACAAAATGGGGAGGGTAACATCTACCCACCACGGGGATGGATGCGGATTCTTTTCAAAGAATTGAGAAAGTATGGTAAGTGGACTAGCCCTATCATCAGTATACCAATTACTGTATCCTTGGCAGACTTTCGGGACACCAGGAAGCACATGATTCCTGCATTTAATCGGTGCTCACGGAGCAAGCACGACGTATCAGGCACGTAGCCAAGTGCCAGGACATGGCACAGACGGAGAGAAACAATCACAGAGCCTGGTGGAGACCAAACACCAGCTGTGCGAGTGAGGGATCGAGTGCCAGAGAGGATTCCTGAATGTGGGGCTCAGGAAGCCGGCTGGATGGTGGAACATTCCTGAGGAGGGAATGGCGAGGGGTGCAGTTCTGAACGGCTTAAGTATGAGAAATGCAACTCGAGTTGTCCAAGAGCACCTGGCTGACGGAGCGGTGAGCTCGGGAGAGCCGCCGGCGGTGGAGACGGAGACGTAGGGTCCCTGGCACAGCTGAAGCTGGGGGTGCAGCCCAGACAGCCTCACAGGAAGAATGGGAGAGAAGAAGGGCCCGGGCCACGCTTTCTAAAGCTCCCATGTTCGAGGCTCTCTAGTGGAGAACGCATAATTGAAGGGAAGGTGGGGGTGATGGCAGAGAGATGGGGCCACCCCAGGGACGGCTGGTGTTTTGAGGGCCAAGTGGCTGACATGTCCAGTGGGGCTGAGGAGTCACGAAAACCATGGATTGAGGGGCGCCTGGGTGGCTCAGTCGGTTAAGCGTCTGCCTTCGGCTCAGGTCATGATCCCAGGGTCCTGGGATCGAGCCCCACTTTGGGTTCCCTGCTCAGTGGGAAGCCCGCTTCTCCCTCTCACACTCCCCCTGCTCATACTCTCTCTCTCTCTCAAAAAAAAAAAAAAAAACAAAAAGAAAAGAAAATCATGTTTGAAAAGTATCCATCAGGTTTATTTATGACAAAGGAATCACTGACAGCTTCAGAGAGAGCCGCTTCAGGGCTTCAACAGAGGCAGAAACCAGGTGAGAATGGAGCTGTGGAGTGTTTATAGATTCAGCTTATGGAGAGAAGGAAATTAGGAGCTGGAGGGACCAGGCAATAGAAAGAGAGGGTTCCTTGAGATGAGGGACTACCAAAGCTGTTTCGGGGCTCATGAAAGAATCCAGGAGACACGGAGAGGCTGAGAATACGAGAAAGAAGGGGTGGGGGACCGTCAACAGTCAGGTCCTGGAGCAGATGGAAGAGGACACAAGCCAGATTCCCAGGGAGGCCGGAAACAGGTTGAGTCTGGGGGCTGCACTCCCTGGGGGCCCGAGGGCAGGCGCCCCCGGGAGCAGCCCGTAGCAAGTACCAGGGCCCATCCTCGCTCCCTATATTCTATGTATGCTTTGTAGCTTGAAATCAGCCATGGAAACAGATAAATACTACAAACCAGGGCTTTCTTCCCCGAGAGCAGTCATTAAACAAAATCACATGAACCCTTCCTCTTTTAAAAGCTATTTTTAGCATCAAATTCCAAACAAAAACAGTTATGTTCTATAATGGATACATGAAGGTTCATCATACTTCTGTGTGTGTCTGAAAATCTCCCTAAAAAAGAAGGTAAGATAATACTGATGATAATAAAGTGATGTTGAAGCAAAACAAACCAAAAGAGTTATTTCTTTATTAAATGCCTTCTTGGAAATGTAGGTATAGCAAGGCCACTATTAACAACTGCTTAGTAAGAAGACAGTTAACCCTCCCCACTCCAGAGGGCTTTTTCTTCATAGTTTCCTTGCCTTCCTACCATAACAGCTCAGGTCCTTCAGTAGAGAACTTGCCTTTCTGTATTTTCACACCTGCTCACGAGCCTATCAAACAAATGTACTTAATTGAGTATTCTAATAAAAATTAAAATAAGTATATTTTCTCACTTTATTAACAATCTACTTATTCTAAAGCTTCAACATTTGTCCCTAGAGATTTCAACTAAAAAAAAAAAATTAAGAATAATAAGCATTTCTATAAGAATCAGCATTTTCAAAATACTCTGGAAGGAAAAATTTTTCTTTTTTTTTTTTTTTTTTAACTTCCAGTGCAGTTAACATGCAGTGTTATATTAGTTTCAGGTGTTCTCATCTGTCCTAGAGGGAACAAAGTATGTGGAGAGTGCAGACAGCAGAAAAGGACACTCACCTCAGACCGACTATTATCTATTCTGTGTTTCAGAATCGCTTATGGAGCTTTAGAAACAGACCCGTACTGATGCCTGGTCCCACCTCAAACCTGCCAAATCCCACTCTCTGGACCCTAGGACCAAATACGCCTGAATACTTGAAGCACTCCAGTGAGGTCATACCACGCGGATCTCTCAGCCCCTGGGGAGTGGATGTATTATCTCCATTTTGTGGATGAGAAAGCGGAGGCTCGGAAGAGCTACATAACTCTCCCAAGGCCTCGGTTATGACACGGGTGGAATGGAACAAGGAGACTCCGAAGCTTAGAGTTTTTTCTGCTTCCTAAGTGGCTTCTCCAGAAAGTATCACATTAATTTTCTCAATTTCATACAGTGCCTGCCAGTAAGTAATCACTCAAATATTGATGAAAAGAATGGAAAGTTGCTCCCGTGAGTACTTACACTACTTAGTTCATTCATAGTAAGCCGTCGGAGGATAAATTCGGAAATGCTCTCGGTGGCAGACATGACAAAGCTCTGAAGGAATGTAAACACCTCATCTGTACGGGGGGAAAAAGTGTGTAACTGAAATGACAGAAATATAAGTTCCTTGGTACAAAATATGCCAGATTTTCTAGTAAAAGTGCAACTATGTTAAGCATATGGGTGCATCACTTACCAAAAACGAATTCCAATAATGTAACAGTCATTAGTACCATGGGGCAATCTATAATTCACCTTAAAGATCATTTAAGAGTTTTAGTTCTGGGTAAGATGAAACAGGGGCATACCAGCCTCTCTCACTATAAAACGTGGACAGAATATCTGAGCATCTATGTGGAGACCCTAAAAGGTAAAAAGTAGCAGACAGATTCAGAAAGCAGTAACACCCAACAGACTGAAACCATGCACAGGAGCAGTCAAGAAAGTGGGCAGCATGATGGGCCCCGGCTTCTGACCAGAGAGTGGAAAAGGGGAACCCCAGAAAAGCAGACAATGAGTCCTCAGGAGGTTCCAGAGGGGGGATGCTTAGGACAATGGCCCCAGAACATGGTTTGTGAACTGCTGGGCTCACCCTGAGAGGCTATGCATGGACCTGCGAGTGAGCAGCATCCCAAAGACTTTCTGAACTGAACTAACAGAGAGACAGCCACCCAGGTCCCAGACTGGCCACCGGGTGGATCATATGTGGTGCAGGTCAAGACAGCACCACAACGCCGACAGTGGAACCAACAGGCACAGAAACTGGAATGTCAGGAATTAAGGGCTAACCCTAAGCTGACTGTCTGCTTACATAAGATTATCAACATTCTCCATAGGATTTAAACAAGACCCAGAGTCTCATAATATAATATCTAGGATTCAATCCAAAATAACAGGGCACGTGAAGCATCAGAAAATTCCTAGCTCACAAGGGAAAAGATAATCTGCCAATGCCAACAATGAGATGATGTTGACTCCAGAAAAACCCGACAAGGACTCCAAACAGCTAATGATAAAAATGCTTCAACAATTAATCAACACACCCTCTTGAAACATGGGAAAATAGAAAGTCTCAGCAAAGAAATATAAGATACACACAAAAACCAAATAGGAATTTTATAATTGAAAAGTATACGTACTGAAATTTGAAGAACTCACTGGATGGGAACAGTAACAGAAAGGAGAAGCATGAGAAAGGAGTCAGTGAACTTGAAAACAGATCAATAAAATAAAATAAATCACATGCAGTATGACATAGTATAACCAAACTTCTGAAAACTAAAGACAATCTTGAAAGCAGAGAAAAATAGCATATTACCTAGGTGAAGAACACACTGAATTACTACAGAACTCTAATGAGAAACCATGGCAGCCAGAAGCAAATGGAATACGTTTAAATTGCTGAAAGAAAAGACCCGTCAAACCAGAATTTTATATCCAGTGAAAATATTCCTCAGAAGGTGAAATAAAGACATTCTCAGATGAAGGAAAACTAAGAGAATTCACTGCCAGCAACCCTATTCCAAAAGAAATGCTAAAAGCTGTTCTTCAAACACAAGGCATATGATGCCTCAGGAAAACATGGGACGTCAGGGATGAAAGAAAAGCAAAAGAAACTGCAAACATCTAGGTAAATACAATAGGTCCTTCTCTTGTGATTTTTAAAATCTCTTTGATGGTTGAAAGCAAAAAGGATAACATTGTCTGGTAGTTATCAACAAATGTAGATATAAGACAACTATAATACAGGGGGGGAAAGGGCAAAGGAGTCCATAGGGTGGTAAAGTTTCTACATTCATTTCACATGGTAAAACATTAACTCTAAATAGATTGAAAAGTTAAGTGTGAATACAGTAGTCCCTAAAGCAATCACAAACACACACACAGACGGACACACACGCGTGCGTGCAGAGAATATTAAATATTTAGTAAAAAACACAATAGGTAAATTAAAATGGAATACGAAATAATGTTCAAACTGCCCAAAACAAGCCAAAAGAGGGAAAGACAGAAATGAAAAACAGAGGGAATAAACAGAATGCAAAAAATAAAGAACTGAAATACATATGTAATTATATTAAATGCAAATAGTCTACACCAATTAAAAGACAGTGTCAGAATGGATAAAAAATCATGACCCAATTATATAGTGTATATAAGAAATTTACTTCAGATATAACAATCTAAATAGAATAAAAGTAAAAAGCCAGGAAATACTACTATGCAAATTCTAATCAAAAGAAAGTAAGAGTGGTTATATTACTACTAGACAAACCAGACTTCAGAGCAGAGGAAATAACCAGGGATCAAAAGGGATACTGCCTAACAAGAAAGAGTCAACTCAACAAGAAAATGCACTATCCTAAACAAATAGGCACCTAACAACAGAACTGCAAAACATGAAGCCAAAATAATAGAACTAGAAAGAGAAAGAGATAAACCCAAACTCAGAGTTAGAAACTTCAACACTCTTCTTAGTAACAGAGTAAACAAAAAACAGCAAGGACATAAAACTGAAAAATACCATGAAAATCTTGGATCTGATATTTATAGGACACTCCACCCAACAACAGAATACACGTTCTTTCCAAGTGCACATGGAACAGTATGCAAGACAGACCATACCCTAGATCATAAACAAACCTTAATGAAGTTTCAAAAACTGAAACTGTATAAAGTATGCTCTCTGACTAGAATAGAGTTGAATTAAAAATAACAGAAAGATAACAAGAAAATCCCCAAACACACTTCTAAGTAATTCATGAGTAAAAGAGGGTGTCTCAAGAAAAGTCAGAAAATACTGTGAACTGAAGTACAACATATCAAAAGTTTTGGGATGCAATTAAAGCAAAACTTAAAAAATTTATAGCACTAAAGGTCATTTTCAAAAAGATCTAAAATCAACAACCTAAACTTCCACCTTAACTTTTTTAAAAAGGCAAAATAAACCAAAAGCAAGCAGACAGAAGCAAACAAAAAAACAGAAATCAATGAAATTGAAAAAAAAAAAATCGAGAGAAAAAAAAAATCAATGAAACCAAAAGCTGGTATTTTGGTTTCAAATAACCAAACAAATAACTCAATTTTATTTTATTTATTTTTTTTTTTAAAGATTTTATTTATTTATTTGAGAGAGAGAATGAGATAGAGAGAGCATGAGAGTGGGGAGGGTCAGGGGGAGAAGCAGACTCCCTGCTGAGCAGGGAGCCCGATGTGGGACTCGATCCCAGGACTCCAGGATCATGACCTGAGCCGAAGGCAGTCACTTAACCAACTGAGCCACCCAGGCCCCCCAAATAACTCAATTTTAAAATAGATAAAAGATTTGAACACTTTGCAAAATGTGATATCACTCTTAGAAATGTTCATTTTTTTTTAAAGATCACATAGCATTAAAAATTACAGAATTAGGGGTGCCTGGGTGGCTCAGTCAGTTAAGCGGCTGCCTTCGGCTCAGGTCATGATCCCAAGGTCTGGGATCGAGCCCCGCATCGGGCTCCCTGCTCGGCGGAGAGCCTGCTTCTCCCTCTCCCTCTGTCTGTCGCTCTGCCTGCTTGTGCTCTCTCTCTCTCTCTCCGTTAAATAAATAAAAATCTTCAAAAAAAAATTACAGAATTAATTTAAAATTTTCATGTTACTTGTTAGAGAGACGATACTATCTGGAATTGATAAACCACTAGCCAGTCTTAAGAGAGGCAGAGACAGAGAGAGAGGATACAAATTATCACAGACCCCAGATGCTGCACACATTAAAAGGAGAAGGGATTACCATGGGCCGTGGACAATTCTAGAAATATAAACGTTCCCACTCACAAATGCCATGATTGTCTATAAAGAAAAATCCCAAGGAATCTATTTAAAAAAAAACAAAAAACAAAAACCCCCCTCATAACTAATAAGTGCTTCAGTGAGTTCAGGGGATACAAGGTCAACACACAAAAATCAATCACATTTCTGTATACTAGCAATATACAACTGAAAAGCAAAATTTTAAAAAATTTATCACTTACAATAGCTTCCCCCAAAAGACATACTTGGGCACAAATCTAACAAAACCTGTACAGGATCTATATGCTGAAAACTAAAAAGCTCTGATGAAAAAAATCAAAGACAGCCTAAGTAAACCGAGAGACACGCTATATTCATGGACCAAAAGTCTCAAAATAATAAAGGCAATTCTCCATAAACTGACCTACAGATTTAATGCGATTCAGTCAAAATTCCAGGATTTTTTTTTGTAAATACAAGCTGATTATAAAGTTTATATGGAAAGGCAAAGGAACTAGAATAGCTAGAAATAAGAATTTGAAAGAAGCATCCTACCTATTTAAAGAGTTATTGTAAATCTACAGTAACCAAAACAGTGTGGTACTGGCCAAGAGATAAACATATAGATCAACAGAAGAGAGTCCAGAAGTCGATCCACACAAATATGGCCAATTAATTATTTTTAAACAACTTTACTGATATAATTCATGTAACATAATTCACCCATTAAAAGCATATAATTCAATGGTATCTAGTACAGTCAAGATATGTGCAACCACCACCACAGCCAACTTTTTAGAACACTTTCATCACCACAAAGAGAACCCCCATACCCTTGACCATCACCTTCATAAGCCCATCCACTCCCCCCACCCCGCCCTACACAATCACTAACCTACTTTCTGTCTCAGATCTGCCTATTTTGGACATGTCATATAAGTGGAATTACATATGGTCTTTTGTGACTGCTTCTTTCACTTAACATGTTTTCAAAGTCCATCCATGTTGTAGTGTGTATCAGTAATTCATTCCTTTTCACGGCCAAATATAGATATATCACATCGTTTATCCATTCATCAATCCATCTATTTTGGATTATTTCTGCCATGCCCAATTTTTTTTTTTTTTTTTTTTAACAACAGTACAAAACAACAGAGAAAGGATAGTCTTATCAACAAATAATGCTGAGCAACTGGATATCCACAGGCAAAACAAAACCTCAACCTAAACCTTACACCTTAAAAATTGACTCAAAATGTATCATAAATCCAAAAATAAAAAACAATAAAATATTTAGAAGAATTTCCTA